TCTTCTTGGTGCTCAGAGGACTGCAAACCACTTCCCCAATTCTCCCTCCCAGTCCCCGCTTCTCTTGCTTGCACCCGAAGAAAATGACAGCCCAAATTGGAGAAGTAGAGCAGACAAATAGAAGCTATCTCTGCATTGGCATGGATAAGTTTAAAGAAGTATTGTCCATTTACATCCTCTACATAGGATAGTGGGAGCATTTCCATTCAATAGTTAGCAAGCAGTGTAGAAGAGCTCCGACATGCAGTCATGCCATGTGCCCTGAGAGAGGTTCAGAAATCACAACTGCAGAGATTGGAAGCAGCATCACACCTGTCTCCTGGAGTGATTTGGCTACACATGGCTTACTGTTTGTTGAATATGAAAGATTCACTCACTGTATAAACAACAGAGACTCAAATAAGCATACGTTTGCTGTCTATGCAGATACTATATTCTATGCTTACGGGGCATAATTCAATTTTTCATGTATGTGGAGAAAAGCAGTGGGAAAGCCTCTTCCCAAGGCTTACCTAATATGTGCTTTGAATGCAAGAGGATAACCTATCAAAGTAGCTAATGCTACCGAAGAAGTCCCTTGGCCTTCTTTTGCTTCACCAGGAAATAGGCTGGACAATAATTGGAGAAAGCCATGTTGTGCTGCAGGCTAGAGGAGCAGATGGATGGACGGATAGACCAATCTATTTCTTTTATAGGTTGATAATCAAAGACAAAAGAGATTAAACATTCTAATGGAGATCGGCAACAGAAAGTGCCATTCCTCCCATATCATCCAGATCTTCCAACATGTGAGTCTTGGCTGTTGGGGGAGAATTTCAGAAGAGGTTGTGAAACTAATGAGATCCAGAGGGTCATTTTTGGTTGAATTCATTCCTCTGACATTTCTCGAGAAACAGCATTCTTTATAATTACGTAACTAGTAGAACGCTTCTCCCTCTTTGCTTTCTACTTCTTGACTGGACTACATGAGTCATAATAATTCAAAGAAAATGGTTTGATAAACTTCATACAGCTCTGACCTAACTTTTCTATAAAAGGGGGTGTCCCATCTTCTTGATATCTATCGTAAATTATCCTTCTTTCCAACACTTTTCCATCCTAGAACTTTTCTGATGTATGCAGTACGTAGACTTTACAAGGAGAAATGAGCTGAATAGAATAGATGAGCTAGGAAGTTGAAATATCATATAGTAGCTTTCCCCCCCTTTTTTATCTCATTCTAATGCTCTTATTTTTTGGAGATCCTTCTCATCTGAAGTGAGATGTGTGCATCTGAGGAGAAGGCCTCTGAATCCTGTCAGCAATCTCGGAAAGTCCTCTTAACAAGGTAGACAGAAGTGGATTTCTATCTAGGAATTTCTGATAGGAAATTCTGGGCATTACATATAATACTTTTGTTAAAGCCCACTTGTTTAACTATTAAGCCTGTTTTGGGGGTCTTGCCTAAAATAACATTGATATTGACAGTTCACCTTCACTCTTACAAACTAATCTGACTTCATTTCTTCTACTCCTATCTCCACACAGCAACAAACAACCATTCTTAGAGCTATTGGTGAAAGTGCCTAGTTGCAAAACTGCCAACATGTTACTGGTGGTATATTATATGTTGTTCACAACAATGGGTATTTCTAGGCACTTGGTTATCCAGTCAGGTGGCAAGGACTTGAATCTTTTCTTGTAATCAAAGCAAGTTATCTTCAAGTTGATCTTGCCTTGCAGTATTTTTACAATCAACTTGCTACCGTGTTTCTCCAACAATACAGCCTCCCCCAATAGGAAGTCCCAGCATGCTTTATAGGCATAAAATCAAATTAAGCCCCTCCTCCCAAATTAAGGACTATATTAAACATGAGAAATGGGGGGGAATGGCAGAGGGAGGCTGGCCGTTAGGAAGTACTTTTGTTGCATATCCAGATATGGTGCTGCCTGCATTGACCTCGGTGTTGGTGAGGCACTTTGTATCGGAAGACCTTCCGCTGTTGCTTTCCCTTCTCCCCATGCTGCCGTGGAGTTTAAAGCAATGCCGCGGTGTTTGGCGCAGCCATGCGTGACCAGCCAGGGCTCCTCCCTACAACCGGAGCCCAGCGGAGACACTCGGCTTCAGGCATTCCTGTCGCTGCCTTCCCTTTGCCTTCGAAGGCAAAGCCAATTCTTTTAAAAACGACGCCCTACTACTGGTATGACAAAGACTCCCCTGCCTGAGAGGGCAGCCCAACGCTACATGGGGAGGTGAATCTCCCGGGGCTGCAGTGCAGGATTGGCCCACCCTGGGAGAAGCACCCAGCTGCCATCCCTGCCTGGTGCTGGGCAAAGTGCGAAGAGCTTCACCTGGGGCACCCAGTGCAGCTGACAGGCGGGCCCTCCTGCCCAGTGGCGGAGCTGTCGCCAAGGCAGCGAGCGCCTCCCCGCCGGACCCTCCGCTCATCCCGCCAGAGCTGTGCAGGCTGGGCAGAGCTGGGAATGCGAGCTACGGGTGCACACCCGCCTGCCAACCGAAAGAGTTGGGCCGACCTGAGCTCGGCTTCCTTCCCAAGTCCCTCAAAGCCCAAACCCAAAGGGGCCACTGGGAGAGGCTGCCCAAGGCAATGATAGCACCCACCCGTCCGTGGACAGGGAGGCGAGGGGACAGCAGCGCTGCTTCCCTGGCTGTCGTGTCTGGCGGAGAGAGCCTGAAGCCGCCCGTCCTTTCCACCCCTTGTCCAGCCCATCCCCATGCATCTCCAAATGCGCTGGAAGCTCCAAACTCTGCAGCAGCATGGGTATCAGGCAGAGGTGCTCACTCGGCGGGGCTCAGCTCAGAGGAGGACGCAGTGCAGGCCGTTGCTTTGCCTCCCTGTCCACAGATGGGTGGGTGCTATAACTGCCTTGGGCAGCCTCTCCCAGTGGCCCCTTCAGGTTCAGGCTGAACCTGGGAAGGAAATCAAGCTTGGGTCAGCCCGGCTCTTTTGCTTGGCAGGCGGGCGCGTACCTGTGGATTGCTTTCCCAGCTCTGCCCAGCCTGCATGGCTCTGGCGGGATGAGTGGAGGCCCCAGCGGGCCTGTCAGCTGCGCTGGGCGCCCCAGGCAAAGCTCTTCACCCTCTGCCTGGCACCAGGCAGGGATGGCGGCTGGGCGCTTCTACTGGGCTAGGCCGATCCTGCATTGTGGCCCCGGGAAATTCGCCTCCCCACATGGGGTTGGGCTGCCCTCTCGGGCAGGGGAGTCTTTGTCGTACTGGTAATAGGATGTCATTTTTAAAAGAATTGGCTTTGCCTTTGAAGGTGAAGGGAAGGCGGCGACAGGAGTGTCTGAACCCGAGTGTCTCCACCAGACTCCGGTTGCAGGGAGGAACCCTGGCTGGCCACACATGGCTGCGCCAAACGCCACAGCATTGCTCTAAATGCCACCGCAGCACGGGGAGAAGGGAAAGCAACAGTGGCAGAAGGTTTCCCAATACGAAGTGCCCCACCAACGCCGAGGTCAACATCCAAGCCGTCGCCTCTCGCCCGGCCGAGGATGCAAGGGGGGGAATTAAGTCACGGCTAAGCCGTCTTTTCGGGGGTAAAAAAATAATAATGCCCGGCCTTATTTTGTGAGAAACACGGTAGTTAGGAGCTGATGTTTTGTTTTGTTATTTGGGCCGTTTCCTTTCTGCTCAGGTGGAAACAGCTTGGCTTGTAATTGCCTAGTGCTTCCTCTTTTGATGGATTTTTCATTATCAGTTAGGTTTTGCCAAATGTTAACCAATCTTCAATTTCACCTCTTTACACTATGTTGTTAAACTGCTTAGCAACCAATGGGTGTAGGCCAGTTAGATGTTTCAACTAAAAACTGAGCAGTTCATCTTCATCTGATGCTGACCAATTCTTGATCTTCCTTGTCTTTTTCTCTACCATTTCAGCTTCTGTTTGTTCTTAGCTACCTCTATTCTTACTGAATTTATTTGTCCCATAGCTGCACCTAGAACTGCATTTCAATCTTTCCACTGATGGATTGGAAGCTTCAAATGGAGATACACCCACACACACACACAAAATAGAGCTTTTATGCATCTACCTCAGCCTAGTCCAAGCACATTTATTTTATTTAGAATTCAGAAGTACTTTAGAGGATAGCACCACTAAATTATTAGGTCAATTATGAGCATAGATCTTTTCTCTGCAAAATCTGCCTGTTCTGTGTCTTCCAGCACTTCAATTCTACATCACTAGCAGTCACTCCCCATAAGCTAAAAGAAAGCGGCCTGGATTTGAAGCAGCGGTCCTGATTTACTAGGCCACTACTTTGGGATCAATAGGTTTTTTATTTTTTTTATTCTTATTTATTTTATTTTGTCAAACGATTATAAGATAACAGGTATAAATATAAACATAGTTATGAATACATGAAAGGGATACATATAAGAAAAATAAAAAGAAACAATAGGACAGGAACTGTAGGCACGTTGGTGTGCTTATGCACGCCCCCTACAGACCTCTTAGGAAAGGGGTGAGGTTTTTAGAGTTTTTGGGGTTTGGGGAGGAAACCACAGAGTCAGGTAGAGTATTCCAGACATTGACCACTCTGTTGCTGAAGTTGTATTTCCTGCAATCAAGTTTGGTGCAGTTTACCTTGAGTTTTTATCTATTGTGTGCTCTTCTATTGTTATGGTTGAAGCTGAAATATTCATTGACAGGTAGGACATTGCAATATATAATTTTATGTATTATACTTAGATCAGACCAAAGGCGGCGTAGTTCTAGGTTTTCTAGGTCTAGAATTTCAAATACTGAGCCAAAGAATGTGTTAAAGAGGTTGGCTTTAATGTTTTCTTCATAGCAGTCTTTACCATTAGGTCCTTTCAGTGGTGGGATGGACCTTGAGTCTTTTAGTTTGTTGTTTACTAAACTTTAGAAAGCACAGATGGAATTGGTGCAGAGAAGGTTTTCCTCTTGTTTCATGTGATAATTGGTGGCATAAATTTTTGTATTTGCTTTTGAAGTTGGCAATGTGGACTCTTTTCCACCTTTGAGGATAGCCTTATATAAGAGCTGTAGCCACAACTCATTGTACCCTCAACAACAGCTGTTGTCCCAGTATTGCTAGACACCTGTCCACAAAAAGGAAGCGAAACAAAAGGAGATCTGATGACTTCCTGGAGAAATGAAATCCAGAGACCATGTTAAGAACTTGAGAGCTCTATTTTAATCCATTCAGAATCTCCCTCTTTCTCAAGTCTATAACCCGAAGCCATGCACGGCAACACAATAAGCAGGGAAGCAGATCTCCCATGCAAGCCTTGGCGTTCCCTCCCTCCTGAGCCTGCAGAACAGAGTGGGCTCAGCACTGAAGGTAATTGAGTTAAAACCTGGCTGGGGAGGCGGAAGGTGATATGGCACACTTCATAATGTACATAATGAGCTTCACTGGCGGTAATGTTGGTTTGTAGACTGCCATCTATATGGAAAATGTATCTAAAGCAGGATTACGAACATGGGATCTGGTTTGATCATCAGTGCCAGGAGGGAAATGAAAGGTTGAATGGAAATCTGGGATGAGACCTTAATCTACTTAGAATGGTCAGGCAGAGAAAAGATTTCTGTACTTGTAAAAGTTATGTAGAAGAAAAATTTGCTCTAGAACCACAAGCTATTCTTGTTGAAGTTTTTTTTTCATATTTATTGCTGTTAAGAATGTAGAGCCTTATCCTTCTATGTATCTTTTCTACAAATATCTCCATTGAAGATTCACTAATGGTTTTTATAATGGAACCATTCCCTGTGCTGAGTTGTGATCTACCCTATTCATCCTTGAGTTGGCAGGAAAACTATATTGAGAAAAATGTGCTGCCCTTATTCTGTCTGTATTGCATCTATTTTGATTCAGTGCCGAACAGTGCTTTCCTCATTAGGCACCTATAGCATAAAACAGGAGGCATTACTTAAAACAATTGATCCCTTTGAATTGGCTTCCCTTCTAACATCTCAGCTGGTAGCAAAATGTTTATCATGACGGTGATATGGGAATGGTTCAAATTCAGCAAATATGAGTTCCTGTGCCTTTTGTTTTGATAGACTGACTAACTGCTGGGAAGTGAATGAGGTCAAACATGAAACCACACAAACCCTCACACAATCATGCAGAAGCTGACTTGGCTATTTCCAGGAATGAGATGATGGTAAAGCTGCGGAGTGCCATTAATTTTTCTTGTCTGATCAAACTTCCCCCCTCCCCCAAAAAGGAAGGTGCTCAGCTTCTAGAGAAAGCTAAATGTACTTTGTAAGGATGAGCAAGAACTAAGTCAGAAATGTAGTGTGTTGCTTGAGCAACGAAGTTAAAGGGTAGCATCTAAAGAATGTTTGCACTTTGTGCCCAATCCTTGTGTAAAAATTTTCATAATCCCAAGGTTAATTTATTCCATTCACTTTGGAACAGATTATGATAACTGCAGTGCAGAAAGTAACTATGACAGTATCTCGCTACCTTGTGAAAGGAAGACACCAGCTAAACCATTGGATCCTGATATAAAGGCTATTACCGGTATGATATTAGTAAATCTGTTTCAACATTTTTCAATTCACTCAATATTTTCAGTTCAAACACTCTTTTTCAATTCACTGCAGAATGCTCTAAAAACAGGCAGTCTGAAAAAAAGAGTATGTAAACTCACACTTTCTAGCTAGCTAAGAAACCTAGCTGAACGTCACTCATCTTGGTTCCTTGTCATTAAAAGCTTCTTTCTGGCAGTTCTGCTTCATTATTCAATTATTTCTTCAAAGTGCTTATCATCCTGGCCGGAAGAACTCCAACAGGGGAGTATTTCCTCCCAACAGCAGTGTAAAAAGCTTAAAACAACCCTTCCCCTTTAAGAAAGTCAAGCCCCAGCAAAAAAAAAAAAAATCTGGAGAAGCTCCAGAGACAATAAGTCTAGTAATACTGCCAAGAATGAGGCAGTTTCTGTAAGCAGGGTAATAAAGGTTAGGCTAGAAACAACACCAGAATGTTTCCTTCCTGCCTTCCTTACAGGATTAGCCCTATAAACTAGGGGAAAACAAAAGGAGATTTCTTCCAACAACTGGTTCTCCGAACTGCTTAGAAAATTAACAACAGGTTCTAGCGAATAGGGGAGAATAGGCAGAATCCCACCCCTGAATAGGTGCAAGTTCATTCTTGTAAACAATTGTGAATGAAACAGGGTGACTACACAATCAAACCCTTCTCTGGGTTTAATTCTCACTTGCTTTTGGAGTTTAAATCCAGTCTGTATCAGTTGTGGCTCTCTTTCCCTGCAGATCCATCCATCTTTTCTCCAGTCCAATGGAAAAAATACTGGAAAAGAAACCGAATTTGTGTACTCTTGATCCTCACTGGTATCTGTCTCCTCCTTAGTGTCATCCTCCTCCTCTCAAGTGAGTGATTATCAAAAGCTAGTGAAGCCAACCCCATGGACATCCCAGCTCCATGAGATGAAAGCAATGGGGGCGGGCAATGACACTCAGTGAAAAAGAAACATTGGTTGTGCTTAAACATTTAAGGGATGGTATTAACAAGCTGGGGAGGAGTATTAATGTATGGACCAGGACCTTTCTCAGATTGCTCTTTTGCCAACTGGTTTTGATCTACAGCCCATTTCAAACATAATTTCCACCTTTCAAAATTAAATGGGAAATATTTCATAACCAATTCCATAAACACAGTGCAATTAGAGTGCTGAGACATGAGTTGGCAAAAATAGCCATCAGGCAAAAGCACCCAGATTACTCTAAATCACTAGACTCTTGCTCTGGCTCTTGCAGACACCGCAGTATCTTCCAACTGCCTGTAAGAATACAGTTTAATTCATGAAATTGCATTTCTTTCTTTTTCTTCCCAGATACTTCAGTACTTTCAGAACTCAGGTCGCAAAATTGGAGCTCCGCAAAAGACGGCTATGATGCTTCCCTAGCACCATTCAATTTCACAGAATTGGAGACCAGTGTTATAACCAAACTCAAAAGCTTAGAACAACAATTTGATGAGAAGAGAAAAATCAGCCTGCAGAAAATAGAAGAACAACTACTCAGAATAGAAAGAGAATTAGGTAGACTACAAAATTGCAAAGGTAAATATGAAAAACAAGTCAACATGACATCAGAAAAAGCAATAAGAGACCAGAATTCATTAAAAAAATACTCAACATACACTTGAAGATTAAAGTAGTAAGGAGGCTTCAGATTTAAGTTACAGCAAATAATATGTTTCCACAGAAGAATCTCTTCAACTGGGGTTCAGATAACCAGCTAAGCTCAAACCAAATATATTACAACATGGTTTAGTATATTGTGAACTCAACAAAAATCAGGTCACATTATATCTCTGAGAATTAAATACATTTTACAGTGTGATGCAACATACAATATATAGTGGTGGGATTCAACATTTTTTTACTACCAGTTATGTGGGCGTGGTTAGGTGGGTGTGGCTAGGTGGGCATGGCCATGTAGGACTGGCCATGTGATTGGGTGGGTGTGGCTCATTTTTGCAGCACCACCCCCACCCCATTTTTTGGACCTTCCTGGCCTCAGGGGAGCCTTTTTTGCTCACAGGAAGCTTCCCTGGGGCTGTGCCCCCCCCCTCCATTTTTTGCCTTCCTGGGCCTCAGGGAAGCCTCCTGGGTGAAGCATTAAGAAGCAAAGGGAATCCTGGCACAGCTGTTCATAGGAACAGCTGATTGTCGGGAAATTAAAAAAGAAGAAATATCTTAAGGAGTGACTGGGCAGGTGAGCGGGCATCGGGCGGGCGGGATAAGCGAGCGGTGACTGGGTGACCGGGTTGGGGGTGTGGCCAGCCAGAAGTTACTACCGGTTCAGCAACCCACGCCAAATCCTTGCTACCAGTTCTTCCGAACTGGTTGAATACCATCACTGACAATATATAGTGATACGTTTTATGTTTTCAGGTAGCTTACATTGTTCTACTTTTACACAGGGCAGGGAAATTGACATAATAGTCCACTTTTCATTCACAAACACATTATCTCATTTTTTAAAAAGTATTAGCGATTTAGTTCATATACTCTTCAAAGACATTATGACATTTCCACTACCAGTGATAGCTCCCACCCATCTGCGGATAGGGAGGCGAGGCGATGGCAGCGCTGCTTCCCTGGCCAGCGGGTCTGGCGGAGAGAGCCCAAAGCCTCCCATCCTTTCCACCCCTTGTCCAGCCCGTCCCCATCCCCACGCATCTCCAAATGTGCCGGCAGCTCCAAAAGCTGCAGCGGCATAGGCATCGGGCAGAGGCGCTCACTTGGCAGGGCTCAGCTCGGAGGAGGTGGTGCAGGCTGTCGCCTTGCCTCCCTGTCCACAGATGGGTGGGCGCTATCACTGCCTCAGGCGGCCTCTCCCAGTGGCCCCTTCGGGTTTGGGCTGGAGGGACTTGGGAAGGAAGCCAAGCTTGGGTCAGCCCGGCTCTTTCGCTTGGCAGGTGAGCATGCACGCACGGCTCGCTTTCCCGACTCTGCCCAGCCCGCACGGCTCTGGCATGGCCCTGGCGGGATGAGCAGAGGGCCCGGTGGGGAGTCACTTGCTTTTGGGGTTGGGCTGCCCTCTTTGTCGTACCGGTAGTAGAGCGTTGTTTTTAAAAGAATTGGCTTTGCCTTCAAAGGCGAAGGGAAGGCGGCGATAGGAGTGCCTGAAGCCGAGTGTCTCTGCCGGGCTCCGGTTGCAGGGAGGAGCCCTGACTGGCCGCGCATGGCTGCGCCAAACGCCACAGCATTGCTCTAAATGCCACGGCAGCACGGGGAGAAGGGAAAGCAACAGTGGTGGAAGATCTCCCAATACGAAGTGCCCCACCAACGCCGAGGTCAACATCCAAGCCATCGCTGCCTGCCCACCCGAGGATGCAAGGGGGGGGGGAATTAAGTCACCCCTGAAAAGATGGACTAGCCGTTTTTTCAGGAGTAAAAAGAAAATAAGGCCCGGCCTTATTTTGTGAGGAACACGGTATCATGTTAAAATATGCATGTGTTGTGAAGGAAGACTGCAGACTGGTGGCTGCAGACTCAAAGGGAGAAATGAATGTATGTTGACCTGGAAGCCCACTGCCCTCCCCTCTAAATTTTCTCCTTGCTGTGCCTCTGGATTCTGGAACAAGGTGACTGTAGCATCCTGGATAGCTTGAAGAAATTCTGCCCTCAAAAATATATCCTAAAATGAGTTATGCATTTTGTTTTCTTTTATATAGCTTGGTATACTTCTGCAGAGATTGTTCTATCTCGTAAGGAGGGATCATTAGTCCCATATAATCCTAAGAATCTACTATATAACGTTCAGGTAGAGGGTGGCATAATTGGAATTGTTCCACATCTTAAATTTGTATCTTTTAATTGCCGGAAAGATAAGAAATAACGGGAGTCCCTTGTCTCTATCCCACCCCAGGTGTGGAGTCAGGTGAGGTACCTTCTGAGATTTAGGTCATGATAGTGATACCACCAGTACTTTATTCCAAAAGAGGAGGCACAACCAGAATATGAACAAATTTTCCACATTCCACCCTCTGGACTCAGCAGTCCACTATAGTGTTTGAGAAGAGAAGCTGACTAATTACTTCCTTTTTCCTCTTTCTCATGAATACATGTGAGTCAGACCTGCTTTACCAGACCTGCTTTACCAAGAAAAATGGGAATAAAGTAAAGAAAACAACCAGTACTGTCTTGCCACCTTCATTATAGCAAGTATAGGAAATTTTAGTAATTTATTACTTTCTCTTCAAATTTAACAAATGATCTTTTCTTCCCATGTCCCATCCCTTATCTACAAACAAATCCTTAAAGCATCATCATTTCAATCATAGCCATTAAAAATTACTAGAAATAACACCTATTTAACTTTGATCAAATTAACCAACTTTAACTTCTAACAAATGTAATCTCACCATATCATAATATTTGATTTCTTTTCATTTCTTCTTTGTCCCTTTTCATGAGATTATTCAAAACTTTAGCAAATCTGTTTTATAAATTCAATATAAAAATTAGTCAGGTCATTGTCTTGGTTTATTGTTGGTATATCCTTTTTAATTATTAAAATATCAGCCAGGTTTTTTTTGTATGTCCAGGGTAACTTCCTTTTCCTGCCATTCTTGTAGCCAGTTGTAAATCCACTTTCAACTCTTCTCAGGTAAAACCTGTTCCTCTTTCAAAATATATTTTAAACAAAGTCTATCCATAGAGGAAGATATCACTGTTGACATTGTTAATATTAATTTTAAACTTTCCAGTGTTAGAATATTTTGTGCCATTCTGTAACTGTTAGTTAAGTTAATGTTCCTCTCTTTTAATTGAAATCTTTAATTTCTTCTAGTGTTCATTTTTTTAAAAAAACTTATTTTTAAAAAATTCAAAACCAACACTTTCTCAGAGGAAGAATTCTTTATGTTAATTCCAAAATCTTGTTTCAAATTTATCTGGGCCCTTAGTTTATTTATAGCTTTTTAAAAATCAAAGTTTTAATCAGCCATTTGCTGTTTATTAAAAAAAAGTTCTCGTAGTTAAATTTATCTTTTATCAAGGATTGAAAGCAGACTCATTCAATATTTTCAGATTTGTCACTCCAAAAATTTCTAATAGATGAAAAGTAGTTAACAAGCTGTTTCCAAGTGTCTTTAGAAAAGGAAGGATACAAACTTCGTGCTCTTTTGAGAGTGTTGACCAAGGTTCGAGCAATGTGATTATTTCTTCCTCTCTTGGTGCTTAACATTGTTTGCAAACTGCTTCCTTGCAATTTCCTTGCAAGGACCAACAGTTTGGAGTGCTTGAGGGTTCTTCCTGCTCCTCTCCTTTTTTCAGACAGATGCAAAGAGCTGGTCTACTCACCAGCTCTTCATTCTTCTGATCTATCCTGTTGCCAGCTCTGTTTTTTTTTTTATTGAACTGCCTTCAATCCAACATATTTTTTTTCCTTCCAGGAGTCTCTGCCCCCATTTTTAAAACAATTCTTCTGTACAACTTTTCTATTTCAGATACTTCATGGCGGAGGTTTGAGACAAATGTTTACTACTTTTCTGACACAGAAGAAAATTGGGAGATGGCAAGGAAAACATGTGCTGATCATGATTCTCACCTTGTCATTATTAATAGCAAGCAAGAGCAGGTAAACTCTACATATTCCTGCAGGGAATAGCTTTATTCTTTTCTTGTACACCTTCTTTGTAGTTGAACTTCCTCATCTTAACCTTTCACCACTGCCTGCTTCTTGTGCAGAATCTGAAAAAGGAAACCAGGTAATCAGCACCTTAGTTAATAGCATTTAGACAAATATAACACTTCACGTAGCAATTATTATTTAAAAACTTCGCTTTGTGCAGTGCTTATATATAAATACCAGTAAAAAATATTACTAATACAATTTTCGTTTAGCATAGATCAGGACTAATACTGTTTTGTCCTTGCCTCTTTTAGCCCTATGATACTTGTAGTTATGTAGACTCAATGAACCATACACCAGATAACTACATACTAGCTTTGTGCATTGTGCAAAATCAATTTGGATTATTCATCTATATCTTGGATATTGTATATATTGGATTAACTGGATCAACTGTGCTTCAGTTAATCATAGCTAAGGGCGACCATTATCTCTTCTTTCTACACTTGTTCAAGCTGCTTTTCCCAGTTGCTGCTTCTTTTGCTGGACACCACATACATTGTTCCACAGGTAATCTTCCATTTACAGCCATTTATTTAGGTACATCAATGTTACAACAGTACTGCAAAAAATTGATTTATGACCAGTCCTTGCAGTTACAATCATTGCAGCATCCCTAGTCACATGATCACAAACTGGACACTTGGCAACCAGCATGCGTTTACAGAGGTTGCATTGTCCTGGGATCACATGATCACCATTTGCGACTTTCCCAGGTATCTTCTGACAAGCAAAGCTAATGGAGGAAGCTGGATTTGCTTAAACGTTATGTGATTCGCTTAAGTGCAGTGGTTCACTTAACAACCATCTGGAAAAAAGGTTGCAAAGTTGCAACAACTGCCTTGTTTAGCAACAGAAATGCTACTCCCAGTTGTAGTCATAAGTGGAGGACTGCCTGATAGCATTTTTCTTGACCAAAAATATTCTGGGTCCATACAAAGACCTTATTGGCATTCTCTGGAAATAAATACAGTTGGTAGCTACAAGCAGCTTTTTTAAACACCTATTTTATCTGCCTAGAAAGATAGCAAATGTCAGCTACAGCAATATGGAAATTAGTGTGGTTAGAGGAAACAACCTCTCAAAGTTGTTGTTGTAGAGAAATTAAGAGGAGGAAGGAGTATTATGTATGTTTGCTTGCCTTGAGTTACTTATAAGGTGTTGGAATAAAGTTTTCTTGTATTTTTATGCAACAACTAAAGTAGTATTTAGCTAGTAGATGGCAGTGCTTACAAGTTTGAATCTATGGCATACCATCTACTTTATGGTTTTTTGTTCTAAGTAGAGTTTCCTGTTTCCTGTAACAGTTAAACAGTTAAGCAGTAAAGCACACAGTGACTGTACTCTTTGTTTGATCTGTGGTGCTATGTATAAACAGAATTTCTAACATAAAGTAATAAAGGTGGGATAAAAAAATCTAACAAATAAATATCCCTTCTGACAAATACAGGGCTGCCCAATCAGGACCACTGTTAAATGGCAGCCAAGAATTGGCGTTTGGTGTCTCTTTTTGCTGCCATTTAGCATTTTTCCACCACAGAAATGGAAAAAGCCCCAGATAAATGGGAATTTTATAACTGGCCATACTCAGCCATTTAGTGAATAGCAAGCTCTCCCATCCCATGGCAGTGGTCGTATGAGCTGCTCATAAAGTGCCTTCTAGTGTGCCTATCGGCCCAAAATAAAAGGGTATACTGTTAATAAAAGGATATACTACAGTATAAAGGGAAGTGGGAAGGGAGTAAGCAGCAGACAGCAACTGTTAAAAAACATTCAGCAGAATTAGTAAACATACCTTGTTTTTGTATTTTTCAACCCATTGGCCATAATAGGTGAGTGACACAGGGGTCAGTCAGTCCTCTCTCCCATACTTTTTAATATCTACATGAAGCCACTTTATGAGTCTTCAGGAGCTTAGGGTCCATTATCAAGTTGGTGGTGACATTCAGTTTTACATCACCATCCTGGGTCAAGGCTATCAATGTGAGAGTTTGGATGGAAAAGGCAGAGATTGTATCCATGTAACATAGAACTGTTGTTTGCACATGCTGTCAACTCCAATGTTGATCTGTTTGTAGTAATTCATGCCTTCACCACCACCTAATTGGAGTACTGCGATGTATTTTATATTAGATCCCAATCTATATAGAAACTGCCACTGATCCAGAATGTGGCAGCTCATATTCTTACTAGGTTCCAGTGATGGAAGCATGTAATACTGATTTTGTGGGCCTGCACTGGTTTCCAGTCTCTGAGGAACTATTTAAGATGTTTCAGGTAGAGCCCAACCTGAGTAGGACCAAAATTAGAAGGCATTTCTTTTCTGTGGCAGTACTAAAGTTCTAGAATGGCTTCCCAATGGGAATCAGTCATCCCCTCCCTATAGGCTTTCAGAAAACTATTGAAAATGGAACTATTTTGGAAGCATTCTCTTAATTTAGGCATTGCACCTCTTTTATTTCATTTATTTATTTTTATTCCCATTTGCTTCTTGTCGCCACTGAGGCTTTCCCACACTATTTGCTTTAAAATTGTACTATGATTTGTTGGTATATTGCATGCTCTGTAAAATGCCAAAATGCTATAATATGGAATGGTACAAGAGATGTATAGAGGCAGGCAAGCAGGCATATAGACATATTGCCGATTTCAGTTGCGTGACATTTGAACAGAGATGTTTCCTCCTAGGATTTTGTGATTCAGACTTTAAAACATTCCATCTGGCTTGGCTTAAGTGATACAGAGAAAGAAGGAACTTGGCATTGGGTTGATGGATCACCACTGAAAGAACGGTATGTGTGTGTGTGTGTGTGTGTGTGTGTGTGTATTAGGTAGACAGTCAGACATTTTAGGAGTCACACAGATTAGAAACTTGCTAACTGAGCTATCTGGAACCATATTTACTCTAGCTCAGCGGTCCCCAATCCTTCTGGCTTAGCAGCCCGGGTGGTGTGGGGTGAGAGGGGATAGTTCCTTGTGAGTGGCAGGCAGGTGCACACGAGCGTGCACAGCTCCATTTATCTGAGTGGTGAGTATGTGTGCCTGCCGCTCACACAAACGGAGCTTCACGCCTGTGCGCAAGTGGCCACCGCTCATGTGAGGGGAGCTTCGCAGAAAAGTGCAAGACAGCCACTGCTCGCATGAGGGGAGTTTTGCGTGGGCGGGCAATCAGCAGCTGCTCGTGTGAGGGGAGCTTTGCGTGTGCACATATACTTGCCTGCTGCTTGTGCAACCCAGTTCCAAACGGGCCACGGCCTAGTAGTGGGCCACAGCCCAGGGTTTGGGGACCCCTCCTCTAGCTTGAGCTCTTTTGCAGACACTAAAGCAAAGAGCATTCATTCAATTATTTACTTTTCTCCTACCCTTCGTGATTAACAATAACAATCAAGGCTAAAATAATAAAAACATTGTAATTGTTATACAAGCAGACATATAAAAGAATCAACTAAAAGCTGAAGACTGGAAGAAAATTGCTCCTTATCTTAATTACCAGCAGCTCCCAACCTCAATATATCCAGAATTTCATGTCCAGTTTATGTTGTCCCAAATAGATATGATAAATGGATGTATATGGAATAGACCTGGGCCAATGAAATCTCTGACTTATGTAAAAATGAACAATGGTTAATTCAGCAATGTTCAGGAAGACATTGTAGGCAGGGGTGGGATTTAAATTTTTTAACAACCGGTTCTGTGGGTGTGGCTTAGTTGGTGGGCATGGCTTGGTGGTCATGTGACTGGCTGGGTGTGGCCAACTCAACATCACTCACATCGAGGCATGCATCTCCTCACCTGGCCTCTCATGACTGTGGGGAGGCTGCAACTGTCATAAGTGTAAAAAACAGTCATAAGTCACTTTTTTCAGTGCCATTGTAACTTTGAATGGTCACTCCATACAAGCAAAGTACCAACAAAGGAGGGAGGAAAAACTCCATAGATTTCCTGAGACAGGAAGTCTAGTTCTGCCAAAAATGTAATAAGGGTTAACGGAGAGGCAGTTTCTGTAAGCAACACCAGAATGTTTCCTTCCTGCCTTCCTTACAGGATTAGGCCAGTAATTTCTTTTAATAACCGGTTCTCCGAACTGCTTAGAATATTAACAACCAGTTCTAGCAAATAGGTGAGAACCTATAGAATCCCACCTGATTGTAGGAATCTTCTCATAATTGACATCACTAATTTGGAATTCTCCTATCTATCCTGTCTCATTATGGTGCAGTCTAACACCCTCTTGTGGTCTTTTTGGAGGATTTATCTTTCAGATTTTCCTATTTATTTAATATTATTTTTATTTATCCAAATCTGGGAGTTTTATGAAATAGAAGATATTTATCCAATTATATATGTTATGGAAAAATTGATAGACTTGCAAAAACAAAAGGAAATATTCCTTCAAGTATTTAGTTTGCCAATACTATACAAGTTACCCATTATGCTTTTGTGTAATACCAGGAAGTATAAAGATTCTAAATAAAGAAAGATATGATTGCAATAAGCAGAATTTAAGGAATAATTAATTTTGCCCCATTTTCAGGAGCTGGAAAGAAGGTGAACCCAATAATGGTGGGAACAATGAAGATTGCGCTGTCCTGTATAAAGAGGGAAAATGGAATGACATTCACTGTGATAAACAAGTTAAGTTTGTGTGTGAGAAGGAAGAGATCTCTGAGTAATGAATTTCCTAATCCAAGAGGGTTTCTCTTTTCCAAATTTGGTAGAGAATTCTCAATATAATGTTTATTTGTAAGGGTAATTAAGATTAATGCACACTGCCTTGGTTACCTAGATAATTCTGTACAAGTAGCACTTATAGTGACAGCATACCTTTAATAAAGTTTCTTCTCATAAAACCACCCTAAAACAGCCTTCTGCCTAAAACAATCTTGTCACTTGTTCACGAAGACTGCTTCCAATATCACCATAACTTTGCTGAAATGCAGAGCAGCCTGGTAGACAAACATTTAAAGTAAAATGGAAATTATTGTTTCCTAAAAATATATTAAATTCACTGTCTTTTTAAAAATTCCAGATTATTTTTCATTTTGCCATATTCCTCTGTAGGCTCTTTTTATTTCAGATGACAGCCATTTGGCAAAGCCATTTGGCAAAGCCATTTGGCAAAGCCATTTGGCAAAGCCATTTGGCAAAGCCATTTGGATTCTGTGTCTCCTACAGAATTATTATTGTTCTGATCTAAGGAGCATCACCTGTAGATTTTGATGGGATAATTGTCCAAAAAAAATCTTTTTTAAAAAAATGCCAACACAATTGGAACAGTTCTCCATTTTGGATCCAAGATTAATACTTAACAATAGAGCCATGGTGGCACAGTGGTTAGAATGCAGTATTTCAGGCTAATTCTGCCAACTGCCAGGAGTTCAGTTCTGACTGGCTCAAGGTTGATTCAGCCTTCCAAGGTTGGTAAAACGAGAACCCCCAATTGTTGGGGGCAATATGCTGACTCTGTAAACCACTTTAGAGGCAGGGATGGGCTGCTATGAGTTCACCCGGTTCAGGCGGACCCGTTGCTAACGTTATGGCTGGTTCAGTGAACCGCCAAATCCCACCCCTGGCTGCCTCCGCTCACCCTGCCCTTCCCAGGAGTCTTCATGTGGCGCATGTTGGATGCGAGGTAAGTGCAGGGCCTGCACAGAGGCTCGGGGAGGGGAAAAAGCCTGGAAATGGGCCCATTTCCGCAGGGCCTCCAGAGCCTGGGAGAAAGAGTTTTCACCCTCCCAGAGGCTCGAGGAAACCTCTGGAGCCTGGGGAAGGCAAAAACAGCCATCCCGTCATGATACAGGAGGCCGACTAAGCCATGCCTACCATGGCCACACCCACGCCCACCCAGCAACCAGGCAGAGAACCCATTGCTGAAATTTTTGAAGCCTCCCCCCCACCCCCCCGCTTAGAGGGCTATAAAGCACTACAAAGAGGTACAGGTAGTCCTCGACTTACAAAAGCTCATTTAGTGACCATTCAAAGTTACAACAGTACTGAAAAAAAGTGACTTATGACTGTTTTTCGCAAGTATGATCACTGTTGCATCCCCATGGTCAGATGATCAAAATTCAGATGCTGGACAACTGACTCACATTTATGACACTCGGTGTCCTGGGGTCATGTGATCATCTGTTGTAGCCTTCTGACAAGCAAAGTCAATGGGAAAGCCAGATCACTTAACAACTTAACAACTGCAGTTAATCACTTAACTGTGGCAAGAAAGGTTGCAAAGTGGGGTAAAATTCACTTAACAAATGCTTTATTTAACAACACAAATTTTGAAGTCACTTGTGGTCGGATGTCAAGGACCACCTGTTTAAGTCTAAATGCTATTGCTATATTCTTCCAAACAAAGAAGCAACCTCTTGAACATCAGAAAAGCTGAAATGGAGGACCATCACTAATCAATAAGGCAGCCAGAAAGACAGGAATTTCTGACGTTTTTTTGCAGTATACTTTTCAAATTCGGACTTAAAATGTGCCAGTCAGCAACAAGCATATATACAAAATTGAATTTTAATTGTAAATAATGTTACAGTAAATAATGTTGCAATGTATTTTTCCTGCACGGGTTTTCAACAGGCAAAGGACACTTCCAACACAAATTGGACTCTCGATCGGCAATGCATGACATTTTTTTCACGCCGTTCTCTAACACGCGGATAATAAGGATAACAAACAGCATGTTCACTTTGATTTGTCTGGGCAAAAGTTTAAATGTGGACAAATGAAAAGAAATAAATAATTCATTGGAATTTTTTAAAAAATGCACTGCGATTCGGGATTCATCCCCCCCCCCCCCTCTCTAAACGGGTGAATCTGCCTGCAGTTTTCTTTGTCTGTCGCGCATTTATTTGGGAAATAAAAAGCCAACGCCGTAGTTTCATCGGCAACCAACTGCCGGGAGCTCCAGCCGTGACGCGCCAAGACCGCGATAGAGCCCACAGCGTTTCCAAGAGCCGAACGCTTTTAAAGCGGACTCCGCGCCCTGTTCCGGTTCCGGGTGGGAGAAAGGGGAGAAAAAAAAAAAAAGCAAACCACGGAAGCCAGCCGAAACAGGGCGCAGAGTGCTTGGCGGAGATGGGGGCCCATTTAGGCCGCCGGTATTTGGGGGACTCGGAGGTGGAGCCCGACCCTTCCGCCTTGCCCACCTTCGATCCCCACTTCGGCCTCCCCGAGCGCAAGGAACGCGGTGAGCAGCGCCGGAGCGGGGGGTCGCGAAGGAGGAAGGTCACCCCGCGCTGAGCTCCGCCCTTGTGGCTCCGGGTGTCCCGGGCTGGGCGGCCGGCAGCTCTCCGGAATGTTGATCACGCAGCCTCTCCTGCCCCCCCCCCTTTTTTTTTCCTTCTTCTTCTTTTTTTTACTCCGGCCGTGTCCTCCACCGGCTTCCCTCTCGGAGTGATTCTGTTTTCCCCTTTCCATCGGCCACCCATGGGACACGGCGTGGAGTTTGCTCCCCCGGTTGCCTCTTTCTCCGCTGGTTTGCCTACGGGAGGCGTAGTTTATGTGCCGCTGAGAGCTAAATCGGTGTGGTTTGGTTGAGAAGCACGAAGTGGAGTAACCGGGGACCAGTTCTTCACTCAGCCTACCTTTTCGCACGAGACAAAAGTAGACGAGCGATGCATGGGTTTTTTTTCTGGCTCTCAGGAGAGAATCGCCCCTTAATCAATGCATTGACGGGGACCCGAGGGATTCCATCTGCATCCAAGGTGCTTTTTTCAAGAGGCCACTCGACTGGACTTTCTCGTTCTCCTTCGAAGACGTTTCGCTTCTCATTCAAGAAGCTTCTTCAGCACTGGATGAGAAGCGAAAGGTCTTCAAAGAAAAACCAGAAAGTCCAGTTGCCTCTTCAGAAAGCACCTTCGGGACAACCATGACCTGGATGTCTGAGAATCTCCACAGCCAATTCCGTCTGCAGATTTCTGTCGAAAATGAGAACTAAGTGGTGGTATTTGGGGCATCCATTAGATGCTTACTATCTTCTAGTATTTCTATTATAAATACATTTAATCCAGTCCAATGGACTCTAGGTAGCTTGCAAAATATAATATTACATCAAAACAATTTAAACAAAATTTACAAGACAGCTTGGACTAAAAACAACCATCCAAACAAACTACAAAGATCCCTCCCTTCCCAATACATTAACCTCAGGCCTGAGAGCAAAGGCAGGTTTTCCCGGCTGTTCAAGAACTCCAGGAGAGAGGGTGCTCTCCATATCTGGAGACAGTGTTCCAGAAGGTGGAAGGCTTTACAGAAAAGGTGCACTTTCTAATCTAGATCATACAAGATGGCAATCTTTAATAGAAGGACCTGGAATGCACCCATTCTAGAACATATCTGGCAAACAAACAATGGAAGAAATTCCTGCCACAATTCAATGTGAATCCTTTCTCACAGCCACACCTGCTCAGTTATGTTTACATCCTCACAAGTCTTTGAAATAATTTGGGCTGAAAGATAATGAGTCATTGTACACAATGAAATTGATTACTAGCCTTGGTATTGACAAATTATTGTTCTCCTGTCAATAAAACTGGTTAGAAACTTCTGTAATTCATCTATACAGCCAGTAATAGGATCATACTACAAAATATCCTGGGTGCACTCCAGTTGTATACAGAGTTAAGGCAATGATATATATCTGCCTGAAATACACATATGATGCCTTTGATTTGACATCTGTTGATACATTTGGAGAATATATCACATCTCTTCTTTGGCTCTCTTTTCCCCCCTTCAAGATTATTCAGCTCTCTTCATAGCACTTAATTTCTAGTCCCCCAATTATTACTACTGTTGCTGTTCTCTAAACCTCTTCCAATATTTTTGGATTAAGTGTGATACATAAACTAAACATTATATCATGAGGTAGGAATTGATCTATGCAAAATAAACTGGAAACTTTCCCGTGATTTGGAAATTATGTTTTTGTCATTGGTGGTGCAATCTGAAATTTCATTTGCCTTTTTTTGTAATTCCTGGCTCTTGTTCAGTTTACAACTGGCTACTATTTTAATCTTTTTACAAATACTCTTAGAACTATTCTCCATCTATATCTGTTCACCTTTTTTGTCATAAGTGAAATTTTGCATATGTCTATTTTATATTTCATCCTATTACATTTAGCCATTTCTCTAATCCAGTGATTCTCAAACTGCTCATTTTTAGTGGTCTGTGGGGTCCATTAGATAATCCGCCCCATATTAACCCGAGTCATTGGGCCAGAGCTTACTTATTGCTTCTACCTTCATTCCTGTTCATCACCAGTTAGCTAGGTCATAACGATGCATCAGTGGCTGACAAAAAAATTATTGAAGGAAATGAGTGATAATATAATAATGTTAGCATTACAATTCAGAAATCTGATAATGCTGAGTAGGTCTCAAGTGCATTTGAACAGCAAATGAACATTTTTATCAGAAAAATATGCTAATGCTGTTACGGAATAGAGCACAAAAATAACTCAAGTGGTAAACATTTTTTGTATAAAATCTAATTTTAAAAGGATTTTAAAAATGCAATGGACAGGAAGACATATTTAAATACAATTATAATCAGTAGTTTGATTTTCTCCAAAATATTCAACTTCCATGCTCCTAAAGTCAAAGGGTAAGTGTATTCTTTACATGTTTGGTCCTTGCTTTTTAATTTCTGTTTAGTAGATCGCAGTTATAGAAAGTTTTGCAAAATGCTCAAAATGCTTTTGTTTCCTAGGATATTAGCTACCAATTTTGTATAAGCTTTTTCACCCGAGTCAATAATAAAGACTTTGAAAAGTACTTCCTTACAGACTAATTTAACTTTTTTACCATTGAGTAACTTCTTTAATAAATTGTGGGAGTGATAGAGACATGATACAATAAAGCACTTAATAAATACCTTATGACATTCTTATTAATAAGCTGATTAAGCATGGGCTGAATGGCATAACTGAATGATTGCATATCTGATTTCAAAATATTACTCAAAGAACACTCATCAATAATTCCTCATCAGATTAGTGTGGTTTGTAAATTTTAATTGAACAGGTTCTTGAACTTAACTTACTGAACATGCTTTCAAAAGGAGCTTTTACAGCATCTGTCAGAGAATTCCAAATGGTGGTTCTTGAAGAACTTCCATTTAGATTTTAATCTCCCTTTCCATCTTTTCCTCCTTCCATTTTCTCCTACAGTGATGATGGCAACACGTCAAGAGATGAATGATGCCCAGATTCCTTACAAATTCCGGGATTATTGTGCTCATCACTACATAATGTGGATGAAGTGCAAACGTGACAAATATCCTTTTTCAATCAATGGGTGTAAACATGAGGCACATGAGTGGAGTTACTGTGAGCATCTGGAGTAAGTCAAAGCTATGGCTTTTATCTGCTTGGTTGCTATATTTTGTCCTTTATTCTTCAGTCTGTAAATTAACTGTGTTTCAGGGATTAGAAACTACCCTGGATTAGAAGTAATGCCTCTAAATATCCCTGTAATTCCTTTATGAAATGTGTTCTGTTTCCACCATAAAAATTCAACAAGTCTTCAAAAAAGTAGCATAAGATATTGGGGTGGGATGGGAGATTATAAATGCTACCATGATATGAGTATGAAAGAGATCATGATAGTCAAGCAAGTAGTTTTATCTTAATGCTAACAAGCTTTGATTTAATTTTAAAGCACTTTGCCCGGATGGAAAAGGGCCGTAATCACTGATCTAAGCAAAATTATGTACATGAGCATAATTATTTATAAATGATTATTAATTAATTCTATTCTTCTTTAGCATGCGTAAAGAACTTTAAGAAAAATACCACACTAAAACCTTGATTGTAGAAGATAAATCTGGGGAGCAATCTGCCTCAGTGATAAAATGTCTGATATTTTAAATATGAAATAAAATTATGGCATTCAAGCCAATTAACATGCAGCAATAAAAGCCTGGTTTAGTAGGGCAAAAGATTTGGACTGACTTATTACTTGTATCCTTTGTGTTAGCTATGTTATGCGCATGAAAGAATTTGAACGAGAACGGCGTTTGCTGGCTAGGAAGAAGCGCATCGAAGAACAGGCGAAAATTACCATAGAAGCCTAATTAGTTTGGGGTGCTTCTCCTCCCTCTTAAAAGAAACTTCTGGACTTGTTATATTGAAAACAATAAAAAACATTATGTCACAGTTGGGTCTCAGATGTTCACTGTGATTCCTACAACTAAATGAATGAATACACATCTTGGACATACGCTAATAAATGTTCATAAATGCCAAGGATCTGTAAGTATCTTCTTGTTGGGAGTCCTAATCTTGCATTACCAGTTCTGGCAATTGTGCCAATGAAATGTATCTAGTTAAGTTCAGATGGAACTGTATAATCTAGTTACTTTTATATTTTCTCTGTATTCATCAACGTAAGCTTGCAGTTTCATTCTGGATGAAGGCAGTGGCTTCTGAACGTTACATTTGTTTACATTCTATGCATTTACACCCCTTCATAAACAAGCAAAGTTTCTTTTACAAAAGTTAGAACTTTTGGAAATGATGAGTGCTGGAGTCCAAAGGGCGGTCGATTATGCTAAATACCAAAGAATTGCTCTGCCTCATGTGAAATAAGAAATAATAGTGGAACATTTTGGGCTGCAGGTCTGAAGATTGTACATCCTGACTGAATTACTTTATTATTTATTTAAAACATTTGTTTCCAGGAAGGAAACATTGAACATCCTAGTAGAATCAGGACATAAATTACTGTAGTGAGGCTATCTCAGTCATAACTGATATACTAGCCTGAACTGATGAAGGTGCCACATGCCATTTGTGCTACAGAGGATAATTATGCTTGTAATGTCAAAGATGGATACAGAAGCATCTCTTATGAATTAGATCTTCCAGGTGAATGCTATGTCTTTTGTCTGGACTGAACATCTATTTTTTGGCTTCAGCTAATCAATTGCTATACCCAGGCACTGACTAGCAATGCCAATGCTTTACTTCAGTGACAAAGGAAATAAAATATGTGTCATCACTACTATATATTATCCACATACTCTATATGGTACACCTTCAGTGACTTGAGAAAGTTTCCCTGAAAATAAGACCTATCCCCAAAATAAGACCTAGCATGTTTACATGTGCACCTAATATAAGTCCTACCCACACAATAAGTCCTACTTAAGAGCCTGCACAGCTGGCCACACACCCATTACATCTGATTGCTCGTGGTTTCACAGCCATGAGGCAAGGTGGGAGCTGCCCACGTGCCCCGCACTGGCTTACCTCAGGGCTCCATGCCCCGATACCTGCCTCGCAACGGCAGAACCACCAACCATGTGTAGCAGGAGCCCACATGGCCACCGGCCCAGCACTTCCGCTTGCTTACAGCTGCAACGGAGCAGGAGGCTGAGCAATGTGTGAGTACCTTGGTCATGAGGCAAGGCATGGATGGCCTGGCTGTGGGGGTTCTGAGGTAAGCCATTGCGGAGCACATGAGGCAGCTCCACACATCCTGGCTTGTCCATGAGCAAGCAGAAGTGGACTTCCCATATGTAGAAAAAAATAAGACTTCCCCCCCCCCCCCAAACCAAATAAGCCCTGGTGCTTATTTTGGGGCCCAAAAGAAAAGACATGGTCTTATTTTTGGGGAAACACGGGTAGTATCTTGTGGAACCTTATATTAGCAATATGGAGTAAGTGGAAATCCTCCAGCAATACTTTCTGGAGATGACCACCCATGAATAAATGGATCCATTCTAAGGCTGTTCCACCTATATCAAGCTCAGACGACTTCTCCCAGAAGTATAACATGATTGCTGGAGTTAGGAGCCATTGAGAAGTGTGGCAGAATCAACATGGTACTATTCACTATTTCTCCCTTGGCAAAGCTCATCCACAGAGCAACTGAAATAGTTTCAATGCTAAAACAGAGTCAAAGCCCATACTGAATTGACCTGGAAAATTTATTTCATTTGTCTGACTATAATCAGTCACCATACACTTTTAATACTTTGATCAGAATTGTCCCTAGCTAATATTGAGACTTTTTTTGAAAAAATGAATGGTATCTTTCTATGAGGGATCACTCCTTATAATAAGAAAGGTATGAACTGGACTTAGCTGAATATTGTCAATTACGGTCATAAGTTGGGGGCTTCCTGTATCTAGAGCCAGTTTGTTTATCAGTTCAAAGACTAAGCTAGAAAGTGGGAGACCATGAGTTCAAGGTCCGCTTTAGCCATGAAAGCTGGCTGGGTGACTTTGGGCCAGTCACACACTCAGTTCAACCCACCTCACAGACCTCTTGTGGAGAAAATAAGAGGAGGAAGGTGTGTTGGGTATGTTTGCCACTTTGAGTTATATAAAAATAATAAAGGAGGGAAACAAATAAATGCTTACGCCAAACCAAAAATTGAGAAAAGCTCCATTAGATGACACTGAAAGGATGCAAAGTGGAGGGAAAGTCTCTTGATGTCTTCCACCAAAATATTCAGTAGTCTGGAATTTGATCAAATTTGAGGGGTTTCTCTCCATCTGCATTTTAGCTATCTCACAACCTGTTGCGTAGCCTAGCTAGTGGAAATGTATAGTAGAGGCTGAAGAAGCTCTGCACCATGGTAACGGATGCTCAGATTTTATTATTCCCCAATCTGGCATTTGGTAAGAGCACTGATAGGCCATTAAGAAAGCCAGTATGTTTACCCAGCTATCTGAGCAAGGATATAACCAGTAGTTGAGAAAGATACCTGCATCAGACCAAATATTCCACCTAGTCCCCTCCAAAGACCTCTGGAACTAATTGGAAGGAGCATCCAAGTACTCAGGCTGAGCAGTAATACAGGCTACAGTTGACAGCAGAACCAAAACAAGGGATATTACTAATGGTGATGGCAAAGTTGCTGTAAGTCCAGTCATGCAGCTGCTGTGCTTATAAGTAGATTGCATGTGGCCTTGAAAGTTTCTTGTGTAGTATGTCCAAGCTGCATTTCTCATCTTGTGTAAACATTCACAATTATTGCTTCTGCCAATTTACTGTTTGATGAATTCTGTGTGATTTTTCAAAGGGAGAAGTCACGTGGGATGACTTTTCTTTCAAATGAGTCTTTTTCATGTACAGTGTATTTCAAGGATTCTTTTTTCTATCCCATCCTTCAACTGGGTAGGCTTCTGGGAATGGGGGATACCGTTCTATCCAATTTTACTCGTGTTTAGTTAGTTCTGAAGGTAAAAGCTCATCTATAGCCGAGTACAACATGAGGTGCAATCATCCCACAATACTTGAGCACCCAAAGGTATTTTGCTGGGTACTATTGGCAGGTGAGGATGAGAATACAAAATATAGGTGTTCAAAATATTTATTTGGAAATACAGCTCATTAGCGAGAAGTTTTTCACTCAATGTATTTATATTTATAGTCAGTCCTACCTGATGTATCATTTTTTCACATGAAAGAGTAATATTTTGTGGCCTATGATTCCTCTGCTCATCCTATTACCTGGTCTACATATCAAAGTGAGCGAATCTGAACTGGGGAGCCCAATTCTGTGATCAACCTCCAGTTGCAATTTGTAAGATAAGTCGCACAAGACTCTCAAATCCTAACTTTAAATTTTCCTAGCCAGTAAGCAGTCCCATTCTCCTTATGCAACTACTGTATAATCTGTTAGGAATCCAATGTCCATATAAGATTATATAGTTTCTGGTCCAATTAATTTCTAATGAAGTGATATATCAAATATAATAGAGATGTCCATTCTTACCTGCAGTCTTCCCCAATGTGTGAAAAAAGTCCTTCAATGTATAATTCCATGCTTTAAAAAAACAATCTGAGACTGTCCAGTGGCTGGATTATTTTTTATTGGTTAGTTTAAATAAAGTTCCACATAAAATGGATTATAGCAAAAAGTCAGTGGCTCATTTAATAGCAGCCTCGGAGCCCAGGTTTCAGATATCACTGCTCACATGCAGCATAACCTAAGACTATGACAAACATTCATCTTGATTGTGAACATATCTGTTTAGAATCGAGTTCCACTCTACTTCAAATGGGGCTTTCTTCAAATTAAATATACAAGTAGTCCTCATTTACTAGCCACTCATTCAGAAAATCATTTGAAGTTGGAATGGCATTCAACAAGTCGAACTTATGACCAATCCTTGAAGTTCTAGCCTTCGCAGTGCTTCATGGTCATGTGATCATGATTCAGGGACTTGGCAACTGCTTGTATTACCACAATTGCAGCATCCTGTTGTCAGATTATTGCCATTTACAATTTTCCCTACTAGCTTCCCAAAAGCAAAATCAACGGGGAAGCCAGCGAGGAAGGTTGCATGCTATTTTAGTAAGTCCCCCAGCCTTCTTGCCACATCGTGTATCCCACAACCTTCTTATGCTCACAGTCTGTTGCCCCAACCACTCTCCACCCCCCTAAGCCTCCTCCAAATCACAACCTGCACCAATCCTCCCAGCTTCCCATCCTGGTCCTTAACGTGAAATTCCTACCACTTCCCACTTAGCCTGCGTATCAGTGACAGCAAGTGGGGTTCCTAGAATTGTCGTCGTTAAGCGGTGTGGCCACCAGATGTTACACTTTGCAACTACATTGCTTAGCAATGGCAATCCCACTTCCCAGTTGCCATCATACTCCAAAGACTACCTGCATGCACTATCACAATCTTGGTAATAATGACAAACAGAAAAATAAACAACCTCCTCTCAAGAAGACCGTCCAAACCTAAGAGGCTTCAGTAATCAGCTTTGGAAGCCATATTAGTATCAGAAGTTGGACTCCGTTGGAGTCGAGTTTTTCTGGAACACTGACACCAGTTCTGTAACACTGAATATTTTTATAGAAGGAATAATAAGTATTTGTTTCCTTATCTCTTAAGTGCTAGAAATATTTACAAATTTCAAAGCAGGATTCCCCCCCCCCCCCAAATTTCTCCGTGCACTTGTAAATATACAAATTGAGTAAGTGATTGAAAATGATGCAATTTGTAGCATTTATCTAACTATATTGGTATTGATCATTCTTCCATTTAATGGACAACTAGAAGAAACACTTCATCATCTGATCCTCTAAATCAAAGTTTCACTTGTATATCTCCATAGTTGTCCTTCAGTGGGCCTGTGTTACAGAAAGTTACACAATTATTTCTAGTTAGGCACAAGACTGTATTTGTTAGTCCTGCATTTCAAGAACCTCTTAACTAAAAAAAAGCCTACTCTACTATCACACAAAACTGAGTCACTTCAAGTATACGTTTCTACTTG